GTCTGAACAACATGTTTTCCTATTCTTCCTTCGGGATAATTTCGATGCTTATACTTAGTATCATTGGTTACGCTTTCTATATAAAATGCATTAAGGACCGTCCGACCTACGAAGCACCTAGACATGTGGTTAATAAAGAGATATTTTTCGGAAACTATCTCCGAAGATGCATAACTAAGTGAGCAAATGAGAAATACGGAAACCACAACAAACATAAATTTATGCAAAAGCATCGCCTAAATAGACGATGTTTTGTCTAAAAGGGGAGATGTTACGTATATCGACCTTCATTCCTAAACAGAAGAATAACGTAGCCGACAGGAAGCATAATTGCAGACTCAGCACGTTACCCAGTGCATTGCCCGTGCCACCTACCCAGCTGGTTAGCCGAGTGCATTCCTAACGTCCTAACCGTACCTAGAGCATCAGCAAAAATCGACTATATAAGCAGCCAAAATCATGGCACAGACGCTCAGAAAATCATTCAATTTCACGCGTAAAAAAATCGGACTGCACGTTGTCACTCGTGGCTCTAACCGTTAGAGTATTAGATTCAGTGTAGTATTCACAATCTGGCCTAGATACGGATTCGTTATTACATACCCTAGGGAACAAGCTGGATCGGTTACCGGGCAAAATTGAGCTGCATAGACTACTCTTTCCAAATATCGCATAGTTTTGATAGATTTCTGTTCCACCAAATTTCATCTTACCTTAACCTCACACACAGTTAGGTTTTGTTATCCGATATTTCTCACAATAGAAACACTGTACACGACAATTGATAGAAAACTTTTAAATAGGTTGTAACAATATATCGTAAACTCACATTTTACTCGCGTTTTTAAATATCTCTTACCCATCCTCAACATTTCAGAGAATATCTACCCACGTTGGAATAGCAAGGCGTGTTTCAACACCTTAAACGAGCAGCGAACCCACCATTGAGTGCATTCTTACCGCTCGGAATTCACTCAAACATTATTCACGTTACCTCCGGTCATTTCTTTTTTTTTTGGTTACTTCTAAATTTTTGTTATCAAATTTAAAGGCCTCGCTAGCCACTACGGCCTACGTAACATTATATTGCATTGTAGAATGGCCTTTAGGGTAGTGAAGGTGAATATGCAATTATCAACAATTGTATACGACAATTTGCATAACATAGTGAAATAAAATTTACAAATTTGGCTAATGGTTCAGTGGATAGAGTGTCATACTCCATATTTCAAGCATCCTGTGAATCGCAGGTTCGAATCCCGCTCACAGCTAAAAAATAGATAGATGTGTGTGTTTATTGATATAACCATTGTACTTTAATTTAGTTTTAATTATATTATAATTATGTTATATTTAATAAACGAATATTAATAGCGTAATCAATTTGAAAAGAGTTCCTGGTTAAATTTCTATACGAGGATATGGTCTCCATTGAAGTACTGTTTAATAGGCCTTGATAAGAAACTCTTAATAAGGCGGCAATTACAGGTCCGATCATGCGTTGGTCAGGGCAACTTATGCTGGCCATACACGCTACGGTTTACCGGAGAGGTCTACCTGCACAGGTATGCCTGCGCCGGTAGGCCGGAGCGTGTGTGGGAATAGACCTGTGTAGTTTTTTTAAAATGTACAGGCGACCGGGGCAAGATCGAAAATCAATTTTTTCGAGTGACACTGTACGATGTACCTGTGCGTGTGTGCATGTACATACTCCGGTCGCCTGCGCAGGTCGCGTGAGTTGTTTGTCACCAAACTCAGTGCTGTTCGATGCCATCGCGAAAAAACTGAAGACCGCTCCGGTACACCGGAGACATATCCGACGTCCGGTTGACCTGCACAGGCATACCTGTGCAGGTAGACCTCTCCGGTAGACCGTAGCGTGTATGGCCGGCATTAGAAATGCTTTAGCAAACATAGGGAAAAAATCGTAAAGTATTCACAGATCCCTTAAAATTGTTCTGTTCGGATACGTATTAGATGATGATAAAAACTACATTGTGTATTATAATGCACAATATGAACTAGAGGATTTCAATTGCAAACAATATAGAATTATATCTAACTTACGTAAGAAGGATTCTTCGGCAACGATATTCAGACGAGCGCTCTCCAAAACTTGCGGTTTAGGATGAGAAATTGTTCCAACTACGGTAGACTTAGAGATGGCGATGAAGATTATAGTAATCGGTAATAGCAGTACTGGAATGAGAAGCATCAATTTAATCCTGGCTCTCCAGCTGTCATTGCCACCCATACACCACCTAATTCAAAAGAATAAAGCAATTATTGATAGAGGTCGAATGAAGTAGAAATAGTATTGCGGATTATTCTGATATTCGTAATTGTGGAATTACAATTGAGTTTAATTAAGAGGGTTCTCTGGTTTGATGGGTTCAAAAAATCGATTTTTTTTGTTGCATAAATTGTTTCCTTAATATGTCTAGAATATGGTGGTAAAGTGATTTTTCAAAATTCGAAGCCATTATAAAGATACAGCAGTTAGAAGAGGCAGGTGTTCGGAGCGCTGAGCTGAGCGCGCATTAATGGTAAGTTACGATTTTTATAGTTGTAACTTTTCAAAATTCTACAATTGAGTTTAATTAAGAGGGTTCTCTGGTTTGATGGGTTCAAAAAATCGATTTTTTTTGTTGCATAAATTGTTTCCTTAATATGTCTAGAATATGGTGGTAAAGTGATTTTTCAAAATTCGAAGCCATTATAAAGATACAGCAGTTAGAAGAGGCAGGTGTTCGGAGCGCTGAGCTGAGCGCGCATTAATGGTAAGTTACGATTTTTATAGTTGTAACTGTACTTGAAACTTCAAACGCGTTTTTCTCAAAACTACGTTTTTCAAACTTTCCGCCATCATATCTCGAGAACGGCTTGACCGATTCACTTCAAATTTATAGGGTCGACTCAGCACATATAGACGCACTAAATGGTCTATTACCACCCCAAAATTTAAAATATTTCTACTTTTTTTAACAAAAAGTTAATAAAAAATACATGAAATTCGAAATTTTTTGTTCCGAAGTCTGTCAAAAGTCCCATTTTCAAAATTTTCTTTTCATAATAGTTCATTCCGTGTATTGAAGCTTACAGATTAAAACTTCCCTGATTTTTTTAGTTTCAGATAAGCCAATCAGCTGATTTCGTGGAGGGGGTGAGCGTCCATTTTTTCGAGGCAGGTGTCTTCAGAGAGCTATAACTTTTGTTCTAATGAATATTTTTAGCTAAAAATTTATACGTATACTCTTGAAACACTTATAAATAAATGATAAAAATTCCAAAGTTCTATCTCTTCACTGGTCCTCACAAAAAAATCCCAAAAAATGCTTAAAAATCAGACCGTCAAACCAAAGAACCCCCTTAATTAGGCAAAACTCATTGAGAATTAGTTAAGAATTAATAACGTAAACTAATCAAAAAATTTTATTACTTTTATTTAATCGAATGATAGAAAGAATCGAACGTACTTCAGTCTGCCGGATTCCTTGTTAACAGCCAATCGACAAGATGGGCATAAGCCGCCAGTATAGTATTCCTCGTCGTTAAAACGTACCGATTGGTCTGTTCTGGACATGGTTTCTACATTATTAGAAAATTGCAGAAGTTAGCATAGCAAGTCACTTCACGAGATCCTAACGATACAGTCTTGATAAATAAAAACAAGACCGAATTGAAATGTGCTATATGTTTAAAAAAGAGCAACTGACTAATAAAGCTTGATTCGAGAAAAAGAAATATATCTCTATCATAGGCAAGACAGATTTATGACCAAAAAATAAAAGGCTTTGTATTCGGAATTATATTTTCCTACAATTTTGTATTAAAAAAAAACCGTATCATTTGTGATTAAAACATCATTATCTATTTTACACATTAACAGATTTTCTGGAAATTAAGTTGTAATGCAAATTTTAGACCGTCGTTATTCAGAAATTGTAAAACATTGTTTAGTTCAAACATTGGTTTAGTTCAATAGCAATTAAAGCGTTTTAAATACAACACGTAAATATATCCCATAATATATTAAAGTAAAAAAATTAATTGATTCATAAAAATATAGCCAGAGGAATTACAGTGTATTCGCTTCATTTTTTTAACCAGCTCTATTAATGCCTGTTGCATTTTCTAGATATACACATTTTTTTACGACTTCATCCTCATTTAACAATACTGACCCGGATGTATCTCTTTAGCCATGAAAACTTAGCCTTGGCGATTTTAGATTGCGTTACCATGACAGAATGCACACAACCGAGCAAAACTTACTATTACGCTACTTATTAAAATTAGTGCCTATGACCTTTGCATACTGCTGAATAGATCATTTTAAAGCCCATTTTGCATAGTAACTAAATAATCTTAATACTGAACTCTGTCAATTCACATAAGTGTGTTCTAACAAACTCGTGAATTCGTACTGCTTAAAATTGTGACTATGGGAACGATAACATGACCCACATTCTAAGGAGATATGACTAGAAAAGAACCAGTGTGTTGTTTGCTTTTCTTCATTTTTTTTCATCATCTGCAATTTTTATCGACGCGTATCCTATCGTGACCCGACTTCTTATTTTAAGCCATTTTCGGTCGCGTGAGCCTTGATTAAAGAGAAGAAATAGACGGAAGCTCGTTGCCTTGGTGTAATGACTCGGTAATCATGGAGTCTTGAATGATTTGACCTTTAGTGGGTAAACACTGGTAAAACACGACCGCTATCAGACATCCCCCCTGCCTTTATGCATCGTCACCTTAAACTGGTAAAGGATTACAGATCCCCTGGAGATAGTCGACTCAAATATTTATTTCACAGGATGTAAGGTAATTGAACCCACATTCTTGACTTATTCTGTTCATTTATTTATTTTGATCCATTGGACTTAGAGGGAGTGGCGTAATACACTAAATTTTACCTTAACCGGAAACTGCTTAAAATAATTAAAACCCTGATTTTGCTCGAACAGTGTAAGTAAATGAATATGAGACCACCAGCACACAACTGTTTTTAGCTGAAAATGAAAAATTGTAAAAAAAAATAAAACGTGTAATTGTAATGTAAGGTAGAACAGTGCCACTCACCACGTGGATTGCATAATTTGGACGACATTCACAAGAGGCAAACAAGATGTAATGCAAGATGAGAAGGATACCTTGGCGAGGAAGTATGCAAAATAGTGGCGACCTTGTATTGTTTCAGTTGCGCATCCCGAGAGTTGACTAATTGAAGAAATGCGAGAGACCGAGACCCACATCGTTCGGCATTCGGAGTCGGACTGCCAGAGCGAATTGAGCTATTGTCGCAGTATGAATGTTAATAATCACGGTAGAGTAGTAGGGCATAGGGAGAATTTACAGAGGGACTGACTCCACGCACTTATGCAGTATGTACGCACTTTTGAACGTACGTACGCGTTCTTAAGCACCCACACACACATCAAGGCTATTTCGCACGCAAGTTATTCGTCAATCGACCCTAATAACTCGACTATTATCGTTCAATAATATCATACGTCTTTAACAGATTTCCGGTTAAAAAGAAACTATTTAATCCCAGTCGATCCACGTGGGGTACCAAGAGTCCTAATAAATTTTCAAAAGAATGAAATTAATGTCATGTCATGCCTCACCTAATTGTTTCTACAATATATTACTCGGAAACGATAACAAATTTGAATTCCGTTTTCATAATAAATATTTTCCTTAGATTTTGATGTTTAAATTGATATATATACTAACTAATCGAAAACAAATTATTAAAAGCACAGTGGGAGATAAAAGCGTGGGCTTTTCAAAAACCCCATGTGGACCTTTGTGAAACGCCCAGAGAAATGGATCGACTAAGGTTAAAAAACTTTTCGCTTCGATGTTTAATCGACTTTACTTAAATTACATATGTAGATTCCTAACATTTTTAATAATATTATTGCATGTTGTTTAAATTGAAAAATTAGACTTTAGGTTAAATATTTTCTGTACCAATATGTTAGCTGACGAAAGATGATGATGTTTCTAGTGCAGTAACCGAAGAAAAATAGTATTGATATACAGCCGTCATAGAAATAGTAATCACAATGCTTATAACCAATTTTGTTAAAGGTGTTAAAAATTCATAAAATCTATATAAAATATTGTATTTCAGGCAAATGTATAAAAGGGTATGTATGATGTATACAATTATGACTTGCGACATAAGAGTTGTCAGTTACTAACCCCATATAAAGTACAAAGATGTATATTTTATTAAGCAAATTATAAGATTTCATTTTGTTAATATGTCCTACGTCGCTTACCATGATGATTTTTCGACAGATCGCATCCCGTGAGAAAATCCCATGATGCATAATCATATCTTTCTGGCATATATCCTGGACTATCCTTATGATCCCGATTGAAAACACTCATATCTGTTTTAATATTCCTATATCTTTTCAATCATCAATGTCTTACATTCCAAACTTAGATATTAAACATCCTATTTAATAACGAAAACTGTTAATATGATTGATTTTGCAACGCAAATATATAGCAATTTATGATTTCTTCGAGTGTAAGTCCTACCCAGCTTGTCAGTCAGTATAATTAATTTTTATTTCATCATTACATTTTTGTTTTCCATTTCTCATGGCATGCTTTGTTTTTAGCAGATGTAGCTATAGGCAATAAACGTAACTGATTGGTCATATGTTATAACTATGGAATGCTCTCACTAATAAGCGTTGTTCGCTACCTATATACTAGCTACTAGTCATAAGATCTATTGAATGCGTCCAGGGACTTTTGTTGGCACAACCGTATGAAACATGCGGAACTTCCTTATGTAATTGACATTGCAAAAAAGGGATCTGTTAGCGTGTGTTGTGACGTATGCTGTACATCGGCGTAGTCTACAGATAATCCGCAACTACTCCAAACGTGCTGAAATCCAAGAAAAGTACGAAGATCCGAATGTTGGCCGCCAGGTGCGGCTTCCCCGCACCGCTGTTCCTCACCACGGCCAATTTTAATATTTCCCGATGACTCAGTCTCAACACACTGAAAATAGTAGAGGGAACATGGGGGCGGCGAGAGAGAATTTCAAAGTCAGTGGATAGGTGCGCCAAACGACTACGCACAAAGTAGGATACTGTTTCCTTTATTACTGCTAAATAAACGGAGGATTTTACAATACAAATCCCGTCGCGTATAGTTTACTCCCCAACGGCGGCTCACGACTACCCCCAGTCGTGGTGGCTAGTCTGCCCAAAACCTGTGCCTATTTCGGTGTACCTACCAAATTCGCGAATCTCTTCGCGGTGGGATTCGCGATCTTAAAAAGTCTCGTTGGAGACGAGCTTTCTCTTCGTAGGGAGTGTGCGCTCTAGCGTCGGTAGCTGCATTGAGAGAAATAGATTGTAAAAATTCTAATATATATTAGAATAAATATATTGATGGTAACAGTTACTACATAGATGTCACTGCGTATTACTTGTGATCACATATTTACAATATAAGATTGTTACTGCGCTAGCTTAGAGATACTAAACAAGATTTACTAATGTTTACTATATGAATATTAGTCATGAGGATCATAAATAGCTATAAATGAATTTAGCGCATTGTAAAATGTTCTCAGGGTTTTTTAATAACGAAGTACTTATAACTACAATACATTGATATCAGGCGCAATAATCCACGTGACGGTTAAGTAGTAAATAGAATGTAAAATTTACAAATGTTAACAACAGACATTTACAATATTATAGATAGTTACAAAGCATTGCACTCGAAAAACTAAGTATGTTGACAGGTGTGTTGTTCCCTATATTTTATATTGTAGTCACTTTTTGATGTGTTAACATCTGTATTATCGGTGTACGGCCGGGGCTAAATGGGAAGTCGACCGTCAGACGTAAGGCGTAAGTTACGTAGATGTCACTGCATCAGTGTGTGTGTGCTGCGCTTATGCGCATACTCTCCGCGCAGTCTTTCCATGTGTATGTACGTGTAGGCTAGCCAACGGTGTACTCATAATGGAGCGAAGACTAGAATTCGAATCGAATTTGGATATCGCTAAAACAATGGAAATTTGTCGAGAATTGTGTCTCGAAAATGATGACGATGATGAAGAAATTTCAATGGAAATCAATTTATTAGCAGCACATGTACGAGATGCTGACCCTTTTGCTGATTTTTTTGCTAATGCTAATAGCGATGCAAACGCCGATTTGAGACTAGCTACATTAGGTCGTCTTGGTCCTATAGCAAAAAAGCGCGATAACATTATGGACAAAGAAGACTTCAATAAATTAATGCGTACAGCTAATTATCATCAAAAAAGTCTATTACTTCATGATATTTCGCATATTTTGAATAATGATGGACCATTGCCAATTTTTTTTACTGGCCCTGCCGGTTGCGGAAAAACATTTGTGATCAACCTACTAAGAGAAATTTACAATCGATTTTGTCATACCGATGGTTATTGCAATGCATATGTGACATGTGATGTCACATGATATTTAAATGAATACAGTCAAAAATTTATATCTCATATTTTAGCTATCATAAACCTATAATTTCATGTATTAAAGAAATTGAAGACAAATAAATTCTGAATTAAAATTAAAACACAATTTCTTGTAAAAAAAAAATAATTTTCAATTATAAATAGTTTCCCGCACTGAACTTCCTACAACATGTTTACACGTCATTCATGAGTACAATAGCACTCGCACTTTTTTTTGTAACATTTAAAGACGTACTACTTTCATATATTATTTGTATTGTTATGAAACACCCTTGCAAGTGTGTAAAAAGGGACTGCAATGTGAAGTATAGGGAATAACACACTTCGCACACACTTGATTTTTATAGTATGAGGCCATTAGTATAAAGGTCGGTGAAATGGGTACAAAATCTCAAGCAATCATATCCGCGAAAGGAGTCGAACTGCACTTGCGATTTGGACCATTAAAGTGGACCATTGGATTATAGCATACACCCCCGTTTGATAAATCAAAAGAGCAGCAGTCAGGTGACAATTCTTTAGATACTTAAGTATCTCAAGATTAACGGTAAATAACAAACATTTTTCAAAAACAGAAACACATTTGCCATAAGAACTTTTTACTTATAGACATCCTCACCAAAACGATTTTCTGTTTAATTGTGTTGAACTTAACCAGTCTATAAAAAAAATGCTAAATTTCTCGTAATTGAAAATTGTGTATCAAGATTTTTTAAAGTATTTATAAATTCGTTCTTTTCCGAAATGATTTTCTGTTTGACTGTCTTGAACTCAGCTAGTGTATAAAAAAAGTATGCTAAATTTTTCGTAATTGCGAAACTTAGGTTTTAAGATTTTTTAAATTCTTTATACAGGGTGTTCCGAAACTACCTGACCCGATGGGTATAACGGTGTTCGGGAGGCTTCACTGATCACGAAAATGACCTTCTTTTTGTCCGGAAGGTCATAGTTTTTAAATGGGAGTAGGTCAAAGTTGACCAATCAGAGCGAAGCATCAACAGAAACGTAGGCACCTACGAACTCTGAGTTTTCTTCCCTCGCTCTTGTTTCTCGGTGGCTATGGGTAGACTGAAGCCAGGCGAAGCCATGCCTATTAGGTATTACTCGCTGAGGACTGCCATGCACTAACTGCAAACTGCAATATCCTATGATAATGTAGGAAATAATAAAGATCTGTCGCAGTAGGTAAATCCAAAATCTGTCATCTACAAATATTATGTAACTTGGTGTAGACGATAAAAGCGTACCAGAATAAATAGTGGAAAAAGTCCTGGAAGAAAATACCAGTAAAAATATCAGTAAACCTCCCGGAAAAAGTCCCGCGGTAGGATACTCTGATTAATTTTGGGCCTCAATTTTTCATTCCACGCTCTTAATTTCTCCGGTACTTTCTCCAGGACTTTTTCCAGTACTTTTCCGGTACTTTCTGCGGGACTTTTTCGGGAGTGTTACTGATATTTTTACTGATATTTTTTTCCAGAACTTTTTTCACGATTTTTTCTAGTACGCTTTTGTAGTCTACACCAAGTTACATAATACTTGTAGATGACAGATTTTCGATTTACCTACTGCGACAGATCTTTATTATTTCCTACATTATCATAGGATATTATAGTTTTCAGTTAGTGCATGACAGTCCTCAGCGAGTGATACCTAATAGGCATGACTTCGCCTGGCTTCAGTCTGCCCATAGCCACCGAGAAACAAAAGCGAGGGAAGAAAACTCAGAGCTCGTAGGTTGCTACGTTTCTGTTGATGCTTCGCTCTGATTGGTCAACTTTGACCTGCTCCCATTTAAAAACTATGACCTTCCGGATAAAAAGAAGGTCATTTTCGTGACCAGTGAAGCCTTCCGAACACCGCCATACCCACCGTGTCAGGTAGTTTCGGAACACCCTGTATATACTTTTTTAGGGTTTATATAAATTGTTGTCTACTTTTCGCTATCGACCTCCCAGAGATCACCTATAAACCTCATGTATCTATAAATATATATTTTAAAATGATGAAGAGATTGTCTCTTGCTTGCGCACTAGTATGAAAACCAATGGACGGTTAAGCGGTCACTTCAAACGCACAAGCGTTTGTCCAAGAATATACTGTATACTTAAAATTTAGTCAAAAGGTATACGTTTGTAGCCATTAGTTTTTCTCCTTTACTTTTTTTCTACAGCTCTTTTTTTCCTGATAGCTCACTGCCAACGCGAAACGCTATTTCTCTTACAAAATATTGCTATTGACGAGTAATAATTATATTGCGTTCGGTAGTACCCAGATTTTAATCAGTAGACAAAGGATCCCTATGAAAGATTAGCTAATAATCCTCAGTGCAACAATACATTAAACAGTAATATCTGGATGTTAAGAAATCCCTAGCGGCGAACGAGAACATGCGAGCGCCATGGCGTTCCTCCTGTCTTCGGCAGCCAGTTTTGCTTGCTCGCACGCAATGGGTGTGTCGCGCGAGAGAAGTGACAACTGGAAGTGTTTGAACGTGCCAAATTACGACAGAAAGTCCTTATTCTAATCGTTACACAAGATAAGTACAGTAGATTTGATTCTATTATTTATAAATTATGAGAATATTATTTTCACTAGTTGGTCGATCGTAATCAGTTTTTATATTCCGTCATTTTTCATGTATTGAATACACTATTTTAAGTTTTACATTACTTTCACTAATTTTTTTAACCCAGTTTTTCATCGTGTAAAACCGTTTTTATTGTCTAAATACTGCTGTGTCCTTTTAGTATGCCGATATAGTTATTGTCAAACGAAGACAGTGAAATCTACATTCTATAAAAGTTGTCACAGATTGTTGCGATAGTTGAGTGTATTTCATGCAGTAGAGTAAATGTAATCTCCATGTTAGCAGATTATTGAGGAAGCAAATGTACTCTAATGAATAACATAACGTTATTATAGTAAAGTTTGAAAAAATAATTATCTAGACATTGTAACGCACTGGTTTACTTCGGCAGCGCTGTATTTATATTGGGAACTTGAAGAGTATGGTAGAGGTCAATGCATGTACATTTAG